TGATTTCTACATATATTCCCTGAATCATTAGAGCTAGACTGAATAGATTTTTTAAAAACAAAGGAATAATTTTTGTAGATGCATATCATAGCCATAATCGTGATGATGTAACTAGAGCATTGAAGGCAGAAGGCTTAGATGTGTTAGAAATACCCGGGTACTACTAGTGTTTTACAACCGCCAAACATCTCCATTAATAGGCTCTTTAAAAACAGTATTAGTAAAAAATTTTATTAAATTGGTGGAAAAAATGTCAAAACTTTTTTTTTTTTTTTTATACTATCTCTAGGTATGAGAAGTAAATGGGAAGAATAGATAGATAAAGAGAAAAAAATATATACCAAGAAAGGAAATTGAAAAAAGGCATTGTATGAGCTTGTATGCGAATGGGTGTCCAAGACATAGAAAGAGATCAGCCCAAATCTTTTAATTAAATCTTTTGAAGTCGCTAGGCTCACACTTAATCCAGATAATAGCAAAGACGATAAGATATCGGGCCACCTCAAGGCTATTATTAAAAATCAGTTGAATGAACTGTCAATTGAAAATATATAAACAGAAAATCCAAATGATAATAATGGTAGGGTTGCAATTTACCGTGATGTTATGTAATTTTGTGGAATTTTTCACAAGTTTTCAGTAATAGTTTTCATGTAATTTGTATCATATGCTCATATGATTGGTTGGATCATATGTACATCAATTTGATCAGTGCAGAATCTACTGTAGTTCAACAATGCTAGCTGTGTTTTTCATAGTGTATCATGTGTGAAATTTACATGAATCCACGTTACTGAAGCTTATGTGAAATTACATATATTGTAAGTTTGTAAAATGTAATTTTCAACTCTAGATAATGGTGAGCCATATGATGATGAACTATATTATGATGAGCCATATTATGATGAGCCGGATAGTGATGAAATTGATGGTGATGAAATGGATTATGAGCTGGATGGTGGTGAAATGAATTATGCGCCGAATGATAGCAAATTGAAATATTTGAATGAAAATATTATGGATGTAGATGGCTATGATATTATAGACATAGATAGTTATGAAGAAACGCAAGCAATCGAAATTGATTAATAATATAGTAATAGCATTTGATCAATTAACGAATAAATTTTTTGAATAACATTTACACTTAGATTCAAAAAATATCATAAATGCTTATTGCTGTTTTTTTTTTATATCTCGTTATTTTTGAACCTAAATAATTCGTATAGATAAGCAATTAACTACTGTATTTGTTCTCTTTTGCATGTTTAACTAACAAAGCAACTACTTTAATTATAGTGACCTATGTTTTCATAATTTCCTATTATATTAAGTCCAATTAGCATATTTAATATATTACAAAACAAATGTTGGAATGTGTTAGATTAGGCAATGCATCAGTAGTCAGCTGGAACATTTTAAACCAATTAAAGGTCTAACTCTTACTGGACATACTGTGTATTAGTGGGTCTTTAAATTATTAATTTTAATTTATATAAAAACTTTATAGCGTATGATGAAAAAATATGAAGAATCGCTTGCAGGCTTTATAGGGTATGATGAAAAAATATGAAGAATCACTTACAGACTTTATAGGGTATAATAAAAGAATACAAAGAATCATTTGATATTCTAATAGATAAAGATATGTTATTATATTTTAATATTTTAATATTTTAACAATATAACTTAAATTATTTATTTGAAATTCAAAATTTATCCAAATAGTATGAGTATTTTACGTTAAAATTCGCAGGATAATTTTCTGTCAAACTAAATCTATCGAAAGTAAAATTGGGGTAGAAAAAGATAAATGTACTATAAGGTATATCATTTTTGCCAAAAAAAAAATTAAGTCAATTAAAAAGATGTATTATAAGCTTATATACTCCAAAAAACCCAAAACTTAGGCTTATATATTATATATAATATACGACAGCTTTTATTTGTTTAATATCAGAAATAAATTGAATAATTTAATTTAATTATCATATACATCTTTCGTTATATACTGTAAAATTATAATCTTTTCATCAAACAATAAAGTCACAATATATAGTAAACTATCTTAGATTTAGACCACAAGCGAATTATATAGAATCTATAAAAAAGTAATCATATAAGCTTCTTATTGCATTTTTGAACAATGCTAAAAACAATTTCTGACTTATTTCAAGA